ATTATAGTCATTCATATGCAGAGGCCTATACTGACTTCTCAGGGGAAATTAATATGATATGACTGAGTGATTCAAAACTGTAGAACATGCACACGGTAGGTCAATATAGTGGGTGGTGTGCTATACGAACACTCAGCTGCATTATAAACAGGGACTGAATGATATTGTTGTCATTCTAATCGTCATGGGGAAAGATCAGTATTTACTATCTCGCCAAAAACCATCTGAGACTCTCACAATAAGGTTAATCGAACTCAAAGCTGAGTGATGAAAAATAAAGACTGTTCTGTTTCTGGCCATGGATTCAAAGCACACACACCACTGTGATGACAACAAGGGACTGTGAAGCCGCAGTGTTATAAGTTGGATTTTGGTGTGCCAGATATGATTATATTTGGATATATAACCAAATATAATCATTATTTAGATAATAAAGGTGTCTAAAGTTATTAGAAAATGCTAGCAAGCTTTTCTTTGCTCCAGAAAGCCCCAACAAGACAAACATGAATAGCAAACCTATTAATCTTTGAAGTTCACCCCTCAGTTTACTGAGTCCACTAACACACAGCTGTCTGTCACAGTGACTATGACTCGAACTTTGTAAATGTAAATAAATTTTAATTCTAAGTAAGATTTTAGGTAATCTTAAAAAAAATATCCTCCATTAATAAGAATTGTTATAAATTGGGAAATAAGCGACTTTACAGCAACTTTATAGTTTGACTTCTTTTTTGGAACCAGCCTCTAGTGGCCACTCAAAGAATTGCACTTTTTTGGCACTTGTTAGCTGGCTTCATTTTACAGCCCTGATGGTTACTGCTGAGTTTTGTCATCATGGTGTACTTTTTTTTTTCACTTGAGAAAAGAGCCAGCACTCCACCCCACCACTTAGCTCTGTGTCTGTTTTGCTAATTTGTCAGACAACAGGAAAAGAACAGGAGGGGGAAGCAAGTTGGGGCTACAACAGAGAAAAGAAGCATCTGACAGCATTCTCCCAGGTGGGATTTAGTGCCAGCTAAAGACCAAAACGAGACAGCAAACACCAAGCTAGTGCACAACGTATGTTAATTAAATATCCAAGCCAGTGACTGGCAGCCGAGAGATAAATCTTCCAGAATGGACCTTTTCCCAGAATCCAGGGACTGTAATTCCTGTGAACAGAAACATTGGTGCTTTTCAAGAGACATGATTATAGATCTAATGCAATAATCCAGGGAAACAACTGTTTTGCAACACTTTGGGGTGGGGGGGGTGGGGGTGGGGGGTGTTAGTATACCTTTTTTTAGAGGCCTGCAACACAGTACGGCACATACAAGAAGCTTACAGAATTCAGCACCATGGACAGTGGCATTAATCTTTGGGCAGTCTACAGGCAGCAATTTGTCACGGGCCCACACTGCTGCTGTAAGAGAAAGTTAGAGCCTTAGTGAAAAGGTAGTAGGAAAGAGAGTTCTCAGACAGTGTTAAGTTAAAATATTTGACATTTAAAAAATTAAAATCATATTGCCATTGCCATTTTTATAGAATTATCTGAATGTTATTATGAAAAGCATCTGAGGTTTATTCAACTTTCTAAACAGTATAAAAAAATACTATAAAGTACATCTTTATAAATATAAAACTATTTTTAAAAAACTGTGGCTTGGGTTAAAATAGAAAGAGCTTAGAATGGGACACTTTGTGGGTATCTGTGTATCTGTTTACATCAACTGCTTTGACTAAGCTGCTTTATAAGAAGACCTGGGTTTGACAATAGGTTCACAAACCAGTAAGTAAACTTTTATTACAAAATAGCGATAGCATTTTGTAATAATTAACAAAAACATAATGTAGCAGATATCATCAGAATATCATTGTTATTGGCTCTTATCATCTGTGATATGATACATAAAACAAGATGCACTCACCAACCACTTCATTAGTAATATTTGTTCAACTGCTTCTTAATGCAAAAATCTAATCAGCCAATTGCATATCAGAAACTTAGCTTTTAGGCATGTAGACATGTTCAAGACATCCCACTGAAGTTTAAACAGAGCATCAGAATGGGAAAGAAAGATGATTAAACGACTCTGAATGTGGTTGTTGATTGGAGACCGGCCGACCTGAATGTTTCAGAAAATGCTGATCTACTGGGATTGTCCCCTCATGAAACATCTCTAGGGTTTACAGACCATTGTCTGAAAAGCAGAAAATATCCAGTGAGCTGCAGTTCTCTGGCTGAAAATGCCTTGTTGATGTCAGAGGTCAGGGGAAAATAGTCTGACTACTTAGAGCTGAACAGAAAGTAACAGTAACTCAAATAACCACTTGTTACAACCAAGGTATGCAGTAGAGAATCTATGATGTCGCAAAAGGTTTAATCACCAGAAATGGACACCAGGAGACCAGAAAAACATTGCTACTGCAACATTTGGATGGTAGAGTCAGAATTTAATGTCACCAACATGCAGTATGGATCCATCCTGCACTCTATGAAATGTTCAGGTTGAGGTGGAATGATGTAGGGGATATTTTCTTGGCACACTTTGGGTCCCACAGTACCAACTGAGTGACAGTTAAATGTCACACCTGTTGCTTACCATGTCCAACCCTTCAATACCACAGTGTGAAGTGCACACTGCTGCTTCCAGTAGAATAGTACACCATGCTGTAAAGCTCAGATCGTTTCAAACTGATTCCACTGTACTCAGTTTTTTCACACTCTTATATATGGAGGCTATGCCATGGAGGCTATGCCATTTGGTCCAGGTTAATTCCTGGACAGGTAACCAGTCTATTGCAGGGCTAATGCAGCTAGGCAGACAACTATTTTTACTCTTTTGTGTGAGACAAGAGGATAACCACTGCACCACCCTGCCACACTTGCTAAGAATAAATGGGATCTCCTTAAATCTATTAAAATATAATGAAATATTCATCTACATTCAATCTATTAAAATATTATGAAATAATTTAAAACATTTCTGTCTTTGTTTCTTTGCTGATATTTCAAAGTATTGGACATTTTAATGCCTGTTATTGCTTGTCCACATTTAGACTGACTTCTATATATTCAATCACAAGAAATCCATGTCCACTGTTTTATAGCCTGCAGCACACAGCAGTGTACATAGACAAGTAGAAAATAATGGAGAAATTTAGTGCCTGTGTTTAGTTTTTATTATTCATCTTTTTGTCAGTAATCCTCAACAGTGGAAAAGAACCCCACAGCATTTCTGACCCCAAACAAGACATAAAGGTTTAAATTAAATACACACAAAACACACACATTTCGATTTGTTTGTGCAGCAGAGGGCTGGGTCAAATATAGACAAACCTCTATGGGTTATTTTGACCTAGCATGTTGGATTGACCAACAGATCCAATTCCACTGGTTTGATTTTCTAAACCATCTTATGGGAATTACAGACTTTAAGACGTGTAGGAAAGAACTATAGTACAGTATAATGCGGTACCACAACCCAGGTATGTCCTAGTTTCTTTATTTTTTTTTATGGTAAAACTAATAATTGAATAGCAAAAACACTCTCCACTATGTATGAAAATATGAGCTGGAATGTACCATTTCATCCTATTTTTGTGCTTGCTCTATCAAGCCCCAATAGTTCTTAAGATGTTTTGTAGTGTTACAATAGTAATAATACAATAATAGTAACAATATCACCATAATTATAATTATTGTAAATATGAAAATAAATGATAAGGGAGTTTAAAACAATGACTCATAGACTCAGGATTGGTCAAATGTACATGGACATCCAGTCAATTTGAATACATGTGAGTGCTGAAAATCAACAGCATCTTTATTTGTGTGCTACTGCACAATGAACACTAAGACATACTACAACAATGAAGACCAACACTGTTTTTGCAGTGTCGTCTTTAAATATTATTTCAAAATTTACTCCACGTTTCTTTTACTTAAAAAATAATGACCCGTTACAGGTTGAAATTCACATAAAGATCACAAATATGTGAACCAAAATCTTATTTTACAGTACCATATTAAAGACAAAACTGTATTAATGTTATCTATAATAACATCTATTTAATACATATTTTATCTGTTCCGCTCTTTTGTAACCATCTTAAAAAAAAACATTTAAATAAGTTAGATTCTTCTCAAGTCTCTCCATCGTTTAAACTCACCATTTAATTTTCTTTTAATTCATCATTATTTATTGCGTTTAAAATCACCTGTACTTAGTTGCACAGTCTTTTTTTTTATATATATATAACAAATCCAGTATATATATTTCACTTTCAATCAAACCTAGTTTTTATTGTTTTTATCAAGCTGTTGTAACCCCGTGGTAACTTTTACTTAGCCCACCTTTCCCTGCATTTTTAAGAACAGTTTTTTTTTTAACATATAGTGTCCTTCTACAAGCAGCTATTACAATCTCTTGAACAAAATATTACTAAAAATCTTATATGATCTGATTCTGTGAGAGAGTCCCTGATGAAAAGAAACAAGCTAGTGTAAATGTTAATGGCTTTTGTATTGGACAACAACTGTTTCCTAGGTAATTGGACAAACAGCCTTCGGGACCGAAGGCAGTGGTGGCTGACCCCAAGCATCTCCCAACTACAGCGTTTGGGAATCTGGCAAAGACCATCTGTGTGGCTGGAAAAGGTGAACATCGCTTTTGGTGGCATCTGCCTGACTGAAAAAAGGAGCTCTCCCCTGCCCTTTCTAATTAGTTGGCGGAACGCTATTTTACATTTTACAGAAGTACTCTCAGTACTAACAGATATTTTATCATAGTTTACTGGCATACATTGAAGATATTTCGCTTTTTCACATTTTATTTTAGTCAGGAAAAAAAATCTTACACCTATTAAATGTAACAGGCTAAATCAAATATTTTAACATGCAGAACACTTTTATTATTATTGTTGTTATTAGTAGTACTAGTCGTATTATTATAGGTCTGCACATAAAGAAAAGAGAATTGCACAGCTGCAACTTTAAGACTCCACACGCCTCCCCTCCGTCAGCTCCTACAATGGTCTTTTCCAGCTCCGCTTATCACAGCAGAATTTGTAACATGCCATAATTTCTTAACCGGTGCGTGTGGATCCCCGGAAATCAGATGTCATTACCCGACCCGGCTAATTTGGCGATCGTTCCTGCTCTTTTGTTTTTTGACAATGCCAGCGGCGGGGACCAGCCGCACCTTTAGGATCGTATCCTTGGCGTCGCTGGCTCTTTGCACTGAAGAAGCCTCCTAGGATTGTCCGCTTCATGGTATAGCTTGCACAGACTGCAGTTGTCATTGATCCGCGGCCAGAGCCTCTGCTGATAGTAAAGGAACAAATTGTGAGTATGCACACTGTTGCCGCCGGTATCGCAGTGACCTACATTGCCCCATTCCTTCGGGCTCAAGGTGATTTTCTGCTGTGCCCCTTTTATCTCCACAACTCTGGACTGATGGGGATGTTAAGGGGAGTAGTGAGCGCTTGGTGCGGAAGCATACGTGGTGTATATAATGTATAGATTTCGTGTGGTTGACATTGTGAAGCTCTGCAGGAGGAAGAAAAAAATCACGGCCGGCTGTCACAGTGGAGAGACATAGCAGAGAGTTGAAGGGGGGCGGGATGCAGACTGAGAGGCTGGCATGATGTAATGCACTTGAGACAATAGCCAAGGATTCTCCCCAATTATCATTTCAGAGAATGAGGCGGAGTTGTTACAGTGGTGTCAAGACGCGATCAGCGCCGCAGTCAGGCCGCCTTGGAGTGTGTGTGTGTGCGCGCGCGCGTGTGCTTAGTAACCGCAAAAGGACGAGCTGTCACATGAGGAACAGCTGCCCCTCCTATAAACAACATTATCACCGGCTATTACAGAGATGCAAGGAGGAAGAAGGCATTCAACAGACTCCCCGTCATCCATCCATCTACCCACCTGCCTCTCCATTCACACTTTTTATCCTGTAAATGGATGAATGAGTGAACAGACACACTCACTCACACACACACACACACATCCAGATGCTGGCTCGCTGGTAGAAGGTTAATTGCTGTAGGCAAAGCTGTGATTTCCCTCTGATCTTGCCAATTAATATTAACATTTACAGGCGTGCACGGTGAAGAGATGTGACAATATTTGCATTAGTAGGAGTTCCGACTTGTGAAGCTGTGGCACATACTTTAAAGTGTGACACAGATACATTATGCAAAGCTAAGATGCTTAATTTAATGGTTTTTTTTTTTAAATAAAGTGTGTGACTTTCCAGTTAGGGACCTCAAACATGCAAATACGCCTTCCTGCCTAATATGGCTGGTGTGCGGGCAAAGCTTTTATTGCCCCAAGGTTTCATTGAGAAAAGTGGCAACCTGTGGAAGAAGTTTTTATGTGCATAAAACGATCGTTTAAAGTCCTCTTTTAAAGCCCAGGTTTGACTGTCACTAAACGTTCGGTAATGAGGAAGGTAAAATGTTGCGGTGAGGCAGGTGTGGTGGTTACAAACGGCACAGTTCAAATCACCTCCAACTTGAGCTTTATTGCCTTTTTGTTCACCTCGATCAGTGCTCTTATTCAATCTCCATCGATTCATGGTTTGCATGACCTTGCTGCAGGGGATTGTGGGCGATGTTAAAGGCTACACGATGTCCTTTCATCCTTTCATGTGCATGCAGACTTATTTTCAGTTGAGCACACAACCAGTGAAAACACACACACAGAACACCCTTCCCCCTCCTCACCCTCGCAGATGCTCACACACAGGTAAAGTGCAGTCACAGAGAAATGGAGACACACACACACAGACATACACTTGATGCTCAGCCTCATCACCCTTTCCCGGCCTTCCTAATGGCAGAAGGCTGGGTGTAACTCTACACCGACACCATCCTCCTCATCCCATCTCTGTCTCATTCACCTTTTACTACCAAAGCTTCACATGAGAGTATCAATGAGTGCTGAATACTATTTTTGTGATGTAATGTATTACAGTTGCACAAGCTATTCTTCATGTACTGAACAAAAGATTGTGGTTTGGACTAACACACTGTTTCAGGAAGCACAAGCAGCATTTGCTGGTAGACTTTGTGACTATAATTCTTGGGATCGAGGCAGATGGGATTTCAATCGCTGAAATAAAACTTACTATAAAGCTCGAGGGCTTGTTTGGAAGTGTGTTTCTTAAGGCAGGTAGCTTGTTCTCAGACTGCTGTGGAATACATTGATGTTACTAGGATATCCTGGTGGTACAGTAGTGGTACAGTAGTGGTAGTGGTAAATAGTGATACAGTAAAAGTCCATTTCTATATACAGGTAAGCTGAGTATTAGTATTAATAGGGCTAATTGTAGGACCTCAAAATAACTATGTGTGCTTTTTTGAGGGCCAATAGATGTCTGAAGTTGGTAAGAAAAAGGTATATTTTTGGACAATTTCATCTAGATTTATCAACCAATATAAGGAGACAGTCTATCTTTGTCCAAAAACAACAAGTATTGACAAAAAAAAGGTAAAATATTAGTTTTACTCTTAGATTTTAAGGTTTTACTATTTACTGAAAAGGATTCAAACAAGTTTCACACAGTGTCTGTCGTATATCTTGCATCAGTGGTTAACGCTGTGGTTTAATTCCTAGGGCCTTTGTTCTCGTTGTGCCTGGTGGGTTTTCTCTCATTGCTCCAGTTTTCTGCCACAGTCCAAAGATGTGTGTTAGGTTAATTAGTGAATCTAAGTTGTCTATAATAATTAGTGAATCTAAGTTGTCTATAATGGCAGCCACTTGTGCCATAATGCACTTAATTAATAGTGTGTATATATATATATATTAGATATAGACACTATATATTTATAGTGTCTGTCTGTATTTTCGTGCTAAAACATCAGAAGCTGTAGAATCAAAGTTTCTGCAACCTGAAGTGTTCACATGTAGCAGAGTACTTTTGATTCCTGCTTATTCTTTTTGGTAGTGTAGTGTTGTATGAATATTACTAAAGATGTTGTTTCTTGTACATGTAGAAAAGGTATTTTTGGTTGCTCCCTTGTTTCCCGAGGGTTCTCCACAGCAAATGGATCCACAAATGGATGTTTTGGCAAAAATCTTAAACTGGATGCCCCTCCTGACAGAACTCTTCCATTTAATCCTGGCTTGGGACTGGCACTAGGAGAATGTGAGCCTGTGTCCCCTAAAGCTGGGTTTGTGGGTTCTCCTGGCTTAAAAGTGGGTATCTTTTGCATGTAAGGTGAATGTGTTACAGATGATTTATATTTCTGTGTTATATCTACGTTTATTTTAACCTCTGAAACCATACTCTGCTACCTGACATGCACCTCTCTAGAAATGAAACTGTATGTCACGTATATGCAGCCTGCAACTTTTGTGATTGGCTTGTTCAGTACTAGTGATTTCCTGCGACCATTTAACCAAAGTTTTGGAACGGATCGGTAAGAGAATAACCAAAATAAGGAATAATAGTCATAGCCTCAATATAATTACTCACAAATGTCAGCAACCACCACAAGATAATTAACATATGCTGCTGCACACACATGCTTGAATGCTGACAATGGTGCCTTGTCAGCGCCGGAAATCGGAAATGGGGAATGTTCACTTTTTGAAATGCACAATTTGTATTCTGAAGGTGGACATTATGTATTTTCAGCTTGCATCACTCTTTCCACATTTTCACTATGTTTTGGTGAATAGTTTGCAAATGTTTGCAGACATGCATGTCTTTCACCCAAACTAATGGTGACCACAGCAAACTGCTAGTGACTAAAATAATGGTAAGAAGATTTTCAGTGCCTTAACCACTACACCACAGTTTCTTGCTAATGTGACATCTAAATTCTGCTTAAGCTCTTTTCAGAAACATCCTGGCAGGGAGATGCTGTATCAAATTAATGAATCACTTTCTCTCAGCCTACTAATAGATAAGTATAAAAAGTAGTAATTAACAACTGTACAATGTAACTTTAGTCTTCTTGTCAAAATTATTTAGAAACAATAAACAGATATTCCACTACAGTAGATTCCCGAGGAAAAAAAAGTGTTTTGATGACAGATATTTTTTCTGCTTTTCTACATCTGAACAGTAGCACTTAAATAATAATAATAATTTACCTACATCTTCAGATGTCCAAATAGGGAAGTAGGCACCCTGTTTATTTAAGAAGATCAACAGTAGGGAGTTAACAAAAACGGGAAAATATCTTAGTTCTGTAGCATGTTCTATAGCAGGTTATGACCGCTTCAGTGAATTGCAGGCAGGTTGGTGTTAATATTTTCATACAAGAGTATGGCTTCTTCTTTCTATCAGCCCATTCACAGCACCATCACTTGCAAAACCAACTAACCATGCACATAACATTTCTTCTGAGATGCCCTTCAATCGAAGACCAAGATTTTGCAGACAGCAGTCCTGGTGCATACTTGCAATTCAACTTGTTGAAATAAGCAACCACAGAACTCACCTCTGTATGCAGTTCTGATATAGTTGATCAGGAAGGTGTTTGAGACCCAGCAGGAATATATATATA